TAACCATGACTGTATTTATATTCAGAGTGTGATTTCTAAAGTGGTATTCATATGCTGAGTGCAATTGCTATTCTGTAAACTGCCATTGTCCTATCGTCTTAGGTACTCAAATGTGGCATATTAAAATCAGACCTGGTCTCTTGGCAGGAAGTGGAGAGCTCTAGTCGCAGTGCAACGTATTGGCAAAGAGATAGACCTTCATCTCAATTATTAGAAAAGTTGGCCAAGTAAGGGGTTCGAACCGACAGAATCAAGTACAGCAGGTAAATCTCTAACGAATGAGGTCATGTATATGTCAAATATTATGTATTGAATTATTCATGAGCAAATGACAAAGCATGCAATACAAATGTTGTCTCCATGTTAATTAGCATACATTCAGCACTGTTTTATCACTCAATGAGCTCGCTGCAACTGAAAATTAATTATAAAAGTTCACAATAAAAACAATAAAATTCCGAAAGACATTTGTGATCACTCTTTTACTGACGACGAAGTAGAAGTGCCCAATTAACCACAAATCTTTGGAATATCTGCCCATTTAGTGTGAAATTGAATGACAGGTTAAACACTATTCAACAAATATTTGCTTGTTTAACGGTGGTAAGTAATTAAACCAATCATTTGCTTTATCAAGTAAGATCCTGATTTTTAGAATTACAATAAATTTACAATAAATAGCTTTCGTACAACCACGGTTCAAGAACGACCATTGCTGCGTATGATCAATATTATTCACATTTGAACATAATCATTCAAGCTGTTCAATTTCGCTATAACATGTCGGTTATTCAAATGAGTAGCAAATCATGCAATAACATTGATTTACCTGGGTCACATGACTTAAACAACTATGACAAATTGTACCTCGTTTAAAATTGAGCTTATATTAGAGCTTGTCTATCTTAGTAAACCATTCACCTGAATAACCAAGAATGAATAACATTTTATAACTGTTGAAATTAAATTAAAAATAAAATAAGTATTACACCATGCATGTATACATATATTGTTAGATAATGAGAAAACAAAAAAAAACTTCGTGTACCATGACGGTTACTACTCTTAGGATAAGTAAATTCGCCTCAAATTGGATTTGTTCTAAAGTAACGGTTGACCATGGGAATCAGTAGACACAGTATAGGTGATATTTAATTACTCAAGACATTGTCAATAATGGTTACCAATATTAAAATAGAAATCAATTGATAGTATAAACTGGTGCAGTTTGATTTTAAGATTTCATGTTCATGATGTGCGCTTATGTTCTGTGACAATATATTAGTTGTTAATTGATAAACATAAATTATTATAAATCACAGCATTCTTTTAAAGCATCACAGTAAACCAAATATGTGCAATAGTAAATAATACCAGATGATGAAACCAATCTTTTACCACAAATTTTTATTAACATTTGAATTATTAAACCAAACACAGTACTTTAGTATTTATATAGATTTCCATCTATATTTTGAATTATAATCGGTAGATGGGAATAAGGTTGGGGAAAGAAATAATTGCGCTTTGCTAAGCAGATAATATTAACCTGAATTTAATCTATTGCTTTAATCACTTTGGCGAAAGTTGGCGGAGCTGCTTGTATCCTCGGGGCGGAGCTACGTCACGGACGTTCTACGTTGCTAAGACGCGCACCACTGTACCACGTATTTGTATGGGCTTTGTGCGCGCTGCCGAGGAACGCCGGTGGAGCCGGTGAAAACTCGAGAAAACAACACGAACTCAACTTTGAAGTAATCCTGAACAACCAAATTCATATATGTTACACACGTAGGGTTAATCTTGTTACACTGTTCAGGGGACTCTCAACAACCACCGCAAAGTACCGTTTTCTACGGGTTTTGGGTCTTTGTTTTCACCGCGAGTGTTGCCAGGCGGTAGAAAATGCCCGGATGTCAGCCCCCGAGGATAGTTGACCTAAGTCATTTTCATACCAACCCTGTATCGGTATTTGCTTAGTATTCAACAAAAATATATTAGTATAAGAATACAAATATACTACGCCAGAGTAGTATTCAACAAAAATATATTAGTATAAGAATACAAATATACTACGCCAGAGTAGTATTCAACAAAAATATATTAGTATAAGAATACAAATATACTACACCAGAGTAGTATTCAACAAAAATATATTAGTATAAGAATACAAATATAATACGCCAGAGACATAAAACATAAATAAAATAGGTTTACCTGCTCACTAATGAGTTTGCTTTAACAATAAATACCAGAAGATTTGCATTTAAAACATTTAAATGTCGTGCACATTGGCTTTCAGTAAAAAACGTATTGTGCATTTCCTAGCCGTATACTTGCTACCTGAATTTATAAAAGAGTGTCAAGTCGTGGCGTGTGTAAGAAAAATACAGCAACCAGTGTGGAGTTGGGAACTCGAGTGAATTACTTGTAATTGTGTGTATGGATATGTGGTTCCAAAACATAGATTATCTTTATGAATAATGGATATGTATATATGAGAGGTACTTCCGTTTCCTGAAACCAATATTCTCATATTGTCAGTTGAATTTTTGACCTTATAAATGAATTCCTTGGCCAAACAAATCTATAATTACATGTATTACACATGATAATATATTGCTCATTAAATATTCAATATGGCCACCGTTACGCAAGTTTTTACATAAAACGTAAAATTCTTCTTCAATTTTACCAACAATTGCTATTCTTGCTACTTATATATAGATTATAGTAGTCATGGTAATATGCTTTGGATTTTGTGTGGTGACAATAGCAGAAATATACTTTTCGGGGGCACCATCAAAAATATGTGCAAAATAAACACTGTTATCACTTGATTTCATATTGAGTAGACCTGAATGGTTAAAAAATGTGGTCTGGTGGAGTTGTAGGGGGGGGGGTACACGATAGCGTAGCCTGTCCCATGGTCTCGGAAATAACTAAGTGAAAACTACAGGGTTCATCTTTATTCTATGACAAAGTGAGCAATGTTGTAGGCAGTAAAGTGTTTACAGGAATGCAACACAATGCATGACGTCTGTTGTGTTTTAATAAGTTATACAGAATGTATCCAGTTCATTAACAATCATATTGTTCAACGTACCCCGAGACGTCAACCAACGTCCTCCACATAAACATACACGGAGGTGCCCTAATTGGGAACTTTAGTTTGTTCCAAAGTGTTAGCACTGAAGGCATTAGGGTTGGGTCAGAAGTCAGAAGTCAGATACAAGTAAAATTACCTGATATGTGGATCCGTTCATAACATCTAAATGAGTTACATTTTAATATTTCTCCAGGACTTTCAATAATGTCTGAGAAAGTACAATTGGCTATCGTGGATTACGTCATCCTTGGTCTTATGTTGTTGGCATCGGTTGCTATAGGCATTTACCACGGCTGTACGGGAAATAAACAACGGACTACTCAGACGTATCTAGTTGCTGGTCGACAAATGAATTTTATCCCTGTTGGTGTTTCTATCATGGCGAGCACTACGTCGGCAATCGCTTTACTGGGTACCGTCGCTGAAATATATATGTATACTACAATGTTTGTTTGGATATTTGTAGTTTTTCTGATAATGATACCTTGTTCTGCACACCTGTATCTGCCAGTGTTTTATAACTTGGGATTAACTAGTATATACGAGGTAACGTGCTATACTTTTGTATCTATGGCAAAACATGGCTGGCATATTCGTTTTCTAAAATTGCTTGTATAATTTTGACCGAAATGTACATAATTTCTTATCGGGTACAAACCTTGATATATATTTTTGAACAATATGACACACATGATGAGTTTGAATTTGTAAAAAGTGAGAACAGTAATTATTTTGTTCTCGTATATTAGTGCATCAAACAGTGACATTCTTAAACAAAACGATGTTCTAAAATTTGCACACACTAAACACATGACATTACAACACCCGTAAGTATAAATTCACCACTAAAAAGTAGGATATCATATAATGTCTGTGGTGTCATAGTTTATGTGTTGTAAGATGAATTCCCTACAAGTCAAAACGAACTTCCACTCTGCTTGGAAAGCTGTTTATACACAGTTTATAGTTTATTTGAAGCATAAATACTTATACATTCTAATACATGCTCCACTATCCACTTTAATACACAGTCAATACACAGCTTCATGTGTACATACAAGAACAGGATGTGTTTATACTGTAGTTTCTGAGTATAAATAAATGAGTACCCTTAGGTTACTGTATTTGAAAAGATACATTGACTTATCCACATTCATTCCCTATCGAAAGAATTCAAAATTTTGTAATTGTACCATTACGTATTAAATAAATTGAACACTTTTGGTTTGCGTAGCCGACTATTCTAATTACAACACAACCAATTGATCCTCACACCATTATAATAATATTATAGTAAAATGTATATGTATATATGGTCATCAACCATTTTGTGGGAACAGTGTCATTGTCACTTATATTACAATTATAACACATATATGTACAACTTTAATTAAAACCAGCTGTACAATATCTTTAAAGTCAAGTGTCGTGTCGCGTGCTTTTGTTTGCTAAAGTTTCATATACAAAATATATCACAGCCAGCACAATAATTAGTGTGACGAGTAGTTATTAAGCACAATGCTATTTACACCCAGTGAATAAAAATACAAGAATCTACAAAACATAAAGATTGCCACAACATTTTTATTCTCTTACTGAAATCATTCTTGCTCCTGTATGTAATTTATAGACATGAATAAAAGTATTCGTTTACTAAACTATTCACTATTATCGAGCGAATATACAACTTTATGCTACAACGTATAAAAAACACAAAATATTGCAGAACAATTGTTGGATTTCAAGAAAAAATACATTACAATAGAATACTGTGTTAAATAGATGCTTAATTGTTAAATCTGTGAAAAATAAAAACATGCACATAGCATATGCTACATCAATAAACACAACTGAATAAAACATAATTCTCTATCCACTTCTTCTTTTTCAGTACTTGGAATTACGTTTCTCTAAACCAACACGAATAATCTGTACATTGATATACATTATATACAAGGTAAGGCAGAAAGACATGGGGTTTAAACTGTGTTTGCAACTATACAACTCTTTTGATAACTGCATTCATAAGTTTAATCTTGTGATTGGCCAGACACTACTAAGAATACCGACAATCTCATAAAATCTATTTTCATTCATCACCGATGCATATTATATGAATAAATAAAGATGGTTTATATTTATTAATAATTAGGTGTTGTACCTTGGAATTGTTATATATGCTCCGTCTCTTGCGCTGAGCGCTGTATCTGGTTTGAATGTATTCAGCTCAACTCTCACTTTTGGAATCGTATGTACTTTCTACACAGCTATAGTAAGTATAAACTTTACATATTTAACGAGATTATTAAAAGTCTATATTATATATAAGGTAAAGAGCGTAAAAGTTAATGAATATATAAGGTAATAACCATATACAATTACGTGATAAATAGCATATGATGCATAGTTTTCGTATCAATTGCGTCATCACATGAAATACACAAAAAAGTCATTATTAACTGTTTCGCCCTGTGCAGGGAGGTATGAAAGCTGTGGTATGGACCGATGTATTTCAATCTATTATCGTATATGCCGGATTGTTAGCTGTCATCATTAAAGGAACAATCATTTTGGAAGGAATCCAGAATGCTTGGCGAATAGCAGAAGATGGTGGGCGGGTGGAATTTTTAATGTAAGTAGGTGTAAGTATGATACTGGACATTGTAAATTCGTCTAGGGTGGGGGTACATAGTGTTTGTATGGTGTAGAAACCTGCCTAAGTAGATACAGGTTGTGGATATTTACAATAATTTATTACAGCACTGACATCGATCCAACGATCAGAAATACAATATGGTCGCTTACAATAGGATTTATTTTTAATGCGATGCCAGGAATGGTCAGTCAACAAACAGCACAGAGATTCAATAGCTGTAAAAATGCAAGAGATGGGATAAAGTAAGTTTTGTTATTGAAAATCTGTAGATCTCCTATATGAGTTTGTCTTCAATACAGCAACTGTATATTTTCTTCATACCTTCATGAGCCGAGAATGATTCACAAAGTTTCAATCTCTATACCATATTAGCAAATTTTTATTTGCATCCAGGTTTTATGACTAGGTGCCTGGGAAATAACACAGCAAATATCGTGCATAAGTCGAAGTGTTAATAAAATGTATTGTTGTATTTCTCAGAGCTATGTATCTCCATCTATTCTTCACTGAACTTAATATTGTTATTCTCGCATTCGCCGCTATAATTATTTATGCAGTGTATGCCACTTGTTCGCCATTGGCGGAAGGTAAAATATCAAGCCCTGACCAGGTGAGTTCATGGTAGAAGTATATCAATAATCGTACAAATATTCTGTTTTTACACTCCGTCAACTTTACCAAAACGTTCTGGTTCTGATGGCGCCTGGAATGCAGATAATTTTGTTAACATTACCAGCAACAAAACCTAACATGTAAGAAATATGTTTTGTGTTGTATTCGAAGCTGAACAGTGATAAAAACACAAGCAGACATATAGATATACACGAAGTATTAAATATGTATTTAAAACTATATGCTTCACTAAATTTACTGTTGCAGTTGATGCCGTATTTCGTGGTTGAGCACTTTAAACATGTTCCTGGAATAGCTGGACTCTTCATAGCTGCAACATTCAGTGGGGCATTGAGGTTAGTCATTACGTATTAACATTCACATCACTCGCTACTATCAAAACGTTCAATGTAGGCTTATAATGGGTGAACAATGAATACAAAATAATGATATTATACCATTTACTTGTTATTCTGTATTAATCATGTTCTTCCGTGTATGTATTACGGCTTGAAGTCTGTATATAAGAATCTGCTAATAAATAAGACTGAAACGTGACAATTTCTTCATTTGTCTTAATAAACAGCACACTCTCCTCTGGGCTAAATTCGCTGGCAGCTGTGACTTTCGAAGACTTAATGAAAATGTCATCTTATGTAACAAAGCTTTCTGATAAAAAAGCTACACTTATTCTGAAGATCCTTGGTATGTGATATACATTAGATGAATATACACGTTCTCTACAGTAATTTTTATTGTCAAATTTTGGTAAATTAGAAAACTCTTTCGAGTGTGCTTGGCCCCTTATTTCTCAACATACAGTGCTATATATATAAATATTTCCGCAATGTATTTAGTTCAAAACAGTTGCACCACAATAATACAAGTAAAAAGTGTTTTATATATTATTCTCTACACATTAAATACATGCACTAACTAAATTATATTTACAGCTACTGTATACGGCTTTTTGGCTATTGCGTTTGTCTTTCTTGTTTCACAATTTGGTACATTGGTAGTATTATCAATTGGGTTATCTGGATTATTACTTGCGCCTGTTCTTGGTGTATTCACCCTTGGACTATTTTTTCCGTGTGCTAATTCTAAGGCAAGTTTTAAATTCCGTATACGAATCAAATGTTCACCAAATAAACAATTGTGTTATACAATTAAATTATCATGAACAATTCAAATTTCATGTATTTGTTATCCTCCACTAGGGGGCTTTCATTGGATTAATGTCAGGATTAGGTGTCAGTGCAATGATCTTCGTTGGCAACTTATTCTATAAGTATCGTCCCCAACCTCTGCCGATGTCCATTGCTGGTTGTATCGAGTCCAACGCCACGGTGGCAAATGTAACTCTGGCGTACACAACAGAACTGGTGGAGACTGACACCATCTATGGCAATTTTAGTACATTAGCAACGATCCCACAGACTGAGTAAGTTTAGTTGTTACGTTGTGATCACTATTATTATTGAAGATTCCTGGTATACCAACATATCCTGAACAGTGTTGGAGAATCTGTAAATGTTTAAGCTTCATATAATAAACAGCGAATGACAACAACGAATCATTGGTGAATTGAATATTTAATGTTGTGTTATATCTATGCAGATCATATGGATTTAAAGATTTCATGAAAATATCCTATCTGTGGTATGGATTGTTGGGAACATCAGCAGTGCTGGTTGTTGGACTTCTTGTAAGCTTTTTGACAGGTGATAATATTGGATTGTCAATGTATTATGTGGTACATTGTGGAGGAATGTATAGCACATGCACAACACTATTCAAACTACGAATAACAACGGTTTCTACAATCAATCTTGACACGCTACAATTTATTCACTACTTACCAAATCAATTTTAGTGTACATTTTAACACAAGGAAAATCGTGCTTTTTATTTCGAACCGTCGGCAATAATTCAGTCATAGTCGACACATATTTTGCACATGCCTGGAATTAATGATAAAATCACTCAATCAGTCGGTATTACATTTCTATATTCTGTACACGACAAATGCATTTCGTATTGATTACATTGCAGGATACACACGGCCAAAAGACGTAGAACCGCGTCTTCTATCTTCGCTCTACACCAAGTATTGTGATTGTTGTCCATCATTCTGTTGCCCACCAATAACCAGACATACAGAGGTAAGTAACGTGTTATTGATATAGCTACCATTTTTAGGAAGTGTCCATTAAAATCTAATACTGCAATAGTAAATGCCAAAGGGTAAACAACAGAACAAAATACATTGCATAACAGAAATAATATACACATTTGATAGGAATAAAAACAACCCATTTTACAGCAACGTCATATTTACCAAATATATTCCCAAAAAATATTTATTTTTGCATCCGACAACAATGTATATTAAATGTATATTAACATTTCTGTATATTTGTTGTTATTCATTCCTTATTCTCGTTTAGGAAAATACGCATCAAGATGAAGGTGCCATAGTGATGCATGGGTATAGAGATTATGTACGTGTGGCGAATACATATGTGTAACTAACATAACATGAAACATCTGCAGTCAGTGTTAAACTGCATTTTAGTATAACTGAGGTGACTGTTCATGTTATTTGTGTAAATTGATGCATTTTCCATGTATTGGGTTCTTTAGATTTAAATTATAGTGTTTCAGCAACAAATCATGTTAATTTGACGATTGTATATTATTTTGTGAAAAATAGATAATGTTAGTTACTCAATTTTATGTCAGGAAATGTGTTCGAACATGCAATATTATCTTCAACAACACTGTGACGAATATATTGTCTTACTAGTTTTATAGCGATCACTGCACAATTAATATACCTTACACAGCGCAAGCATTTGATTCCCATAAATATGTGAGGGCTATATGTATTGACCCCTGTCAACCTCAACTAGTTTGTGTATTAGACATAACAATCTGAACCTTTTTGAAAATAATCTGAATGGATAAATAAAAGACTCAACCTGCCTCAAACGAATACTTCGTCGGATATACAAGTTTCAGGATAGAAGGGGAATCGTATTATACATAATATTTACATTTTGTGGTACATAAATAACTGTGTCGAAGAGATAATTGAAACATAGGGCAATGTTTGGCTTTGGTGCCAATGTTATTTGAATAATAACTCCCAAATATATATAAGCAATTCATTTCCAGTGATATAAGCTCCATCCTATAGAATTATGTTTATGCCCCTTACAACATTACGATGAGTAGAATTATATATTATATTCAAAATGTAGAATAACATTGGCTTTCTTGCAGGAAATGTCTATAAATGTTATAATTGTAATTTTGCTAGACTTGTATGTTGAATAAAAAAAAATCGTATATTTGTGGAAATGCGAAAATCTTTAATCAATGTACGACTTTCTAGTGCTTTAATTACACAGATTTGTATGTATCTCCCAAGGTTCTTGTACAACTATTGGAATTATTTAATCTACATTTCCACGGGATGATTTTTCCAACAGCGCTATTATATTTATGGAAATAACTCTAAGGCCATGAAATAATTATTTTACATGCCATTCATTTCCGAATTAAAAAAATAGTAATTATTATAATATAAGAACATATACATCATATTAAAGCTTAGATCGAGGCAAAGACGACGGTGTATGTGATATATCGTTGTTTTCCTGAGGAATTGCCTGACGATAAATTTTTCTATTGTCGTTTTTGTTCATTCCGATTACTACAAATATTGTTTTCTCATACTTTTATTCATGCGCAAATTATGACAAATTAATCACAGACATACTCCCAACTAAGTCATAGGTAAAACCTTATAACATTTACCTGGTACGAATGTATGTACTTGACCAAAACATGACTATTAACCTTGAAAAAACGCACATAATATATATTCAACTTCTTATCGCCGCATGAGGTTATCAATGATTAATTTATTCCCCTCATCGAGATTGCATCTTTTTTCTCTGGAATAAATGCGCATGTACTCTACTGACGTAATTTAATTGAGTGTAATGATTTACTTGTAGGCAGAGTTCCTATTGCAGCCCAAACTCATCCGACACAATTTGTATATTTCGCGACAAGCGAAGCTTTTTATAGATATTTGTAGTTATTAACACGAAGTCACATGAGCCAATCGCATTGTAATGATCTTGTCCAAAACATTAAACCAGTCGTTTATTATTTCCATGTGGCAATTCCATACAGGCGGACTTCAAATAATGACACTCATGATGTTCACTGTTGTTTTGTATTAGACTGGTAGTTATAATAACTGTACCAAGGGTTATTGTCATATCAACACAATCAGATAGGAATAAATATCAAGATAGAGACGTCACACGCATACTTATTAACATATCTATGATCATCAAAATAAACTATCGCATGATCAAATTATTATTGAAATTTATGACTATTCACAATAAAAGATGTATCTAAAGGATACAGTACCCCTTTTAGTCACCGGTTTCGAAACGCTTCTAGTTTTAGTTTTAACAAGTGAGTTGCGTCGATTTAACGACTTTCTTGACGTCAACAAGTTTACTGCTCAATACATTTCGATAGTTTGCAGTCCCAATTTTACGCTTGATATGCCAGCATTTTAACTTGCATTGTTGAAGGGTTGGAAAGATGTATAAAAGATGTATCTAAAGGATACAGTACCCCTTTTAGTCACCGGTTTCGAAACGCTTCTAGTTTTAGTGGGGATTAGCAATAAACATCCTGTGAATGCGTGTAGGTGCTGTTGACATTACAGCATCGCTTTCCACATCTGATCAATTGGCAATTTACATCTCACGGTATCCCAACAGAGTTTTCTTGAAGAAGCCCTATTTCTAGGACAAAACGTTGGAATAAACATCACAAAACTGACCAGGTGTATTGTCGTGACAATCCTTGTGTTATTTGCAAATAAACAAACATTTGCTATACCTCATTAACATATATATTAAACTTTAAGGATTTTGAATATCATTTAAATTGTGAAGATTTACTTTCCTCTCACTTCTCCATTAACTTTGGGAAACATTTCGACAAGCATAATTCACAAAAAAATTTATTTATAAATTAATTTCATAACTTAGATGTTACCAATCCGCCATTATGAAGATCCACGTTAACCCCATTTTCTTTGTTTAAGTACTTTTACTTTTGTTGTTTTTTCGTCAAGCCATCTAGAACTTTTGGAAAAATGTAGCCACACAGGAGTTTATTTCTCATGAGTGATAACTAATTTGATATACAGGATGTAGCATGTATGGGCAAATCTTGTTATCAGAGAAAATGATGTTGCACAGTCACGTGGTTTATCAGCCGTCTTCGAATTCTGAAATAAATAAAAAAAAATAGGCCAATGTCTTTTAAAGGGTTAAAAACGTGCTGTTTTGCATGTATCATGAACATGAACGCATCTTCTGAAACTACGTTAATATGTCGGCGCTTATATATTGTGCAATATTTCCATGCCTCCAACACAAACCAGACAAAGCTGGTTTTTGGCTTTAACTCTTCATATTGGCTCACGAGAATGTTATTGGTGAACATTCAATAAAAAGTTGACCCAGTGAACATTCAACCAAAAGTTGGTTCAAATTTTCAACATTGAATCGTGTTGACATTGGTTCGTTGCCTTGATACGTAATTTGAAATGCCTGCACCAATTCATGGAGATGAAGCCACAAGTCCCCTCGTTTCGAGTTATGAGATATAGCATTTAATTTATTTTATTGTTTTTATCCAAGATCCTATCTGTAATTTCAAGCTGAGATTAAAAAAGGTTAATCCATTGTTTTAGACATGTAGCATGGATTGTATGCAGAGTTGGTGTCGCTGAGACTTCCCTGGAATTCTTTTTACATTTCCAGCATGTCCTTATCGGCCTAGGCATGTCCAAGATGGGAGTGGGCATACAGAGATAAACACAGTCACAAAGGTTCCGTCTCCGTTCATGAACTGTTTTCGATTTTTTTATAAAATTACAATAACTATGTTCCAGTGTACAAACAAAGCTGAAAATAAATATAATAAATCTATACATTCAAACTGTCTTTAGAATTTCATATTTCCAAGAGCGAATTATATAAATTGTAGTTATAATAATATAATACAAAAGTCTTTTCTTTTATTAAACTTAAAATTCAACATATTCCATGATTATCATTAGAGGTTGACAATTAAAAACTTGAGGAATTTGGAAACTAAAATTACAGAAAAACAAGCATTGATAATGCATAGTCCCCGTTCAGTATTAGCTGTAGTCAATGTAAATGTAGAAATGAAAGATCAATGATTTTTTAACACTAACACAGATTATATATTGTGTTACTGTCAGTATAGTACTTTCGTGGAAACTTTGAATTTAATTGGACTATATCTTACAGAGGAAATATCATGAAAGAAAAATGCAGCCAGTCGGGTATTGTTGTTCAAGTATCTCCAAAAGAAATATAGCTTGCACCGTAACCTAATATGAAAATATGTAATATGAACATACCCTATTCAACTTTGAGCTGAATCAGGCCATATCACCCTGTTCAGCTCCAAGAAACAGTTCGGATATGTTACAGAATGTGATTTTATGTGTTTTTTTGACAAAATGGCCGCCATTTTGACAAATTTGATCAAATCTCAAAACGAAACATCATGTTGTGTTATCTTGAAGTACACACTATGAACTGAACCAGGCTATATCTTATGGAGGAATCAGCACGAGAACAAAAAAATGGCCGCTAGTATATAGTCCATCTTGGACCGAATCTCGAAAATAAAAATCACGTTCACTTATAATGCAATATGCATGATCACCATACAAAGTTTGATTGAAATCATGCTGTTCAGCTCTGAGAAACAATTCTGGACACGTTCAAATATCAGAATTTAGCAAATTTGAGGGACGAAATGGCTGCCAGTCAGCCATATTTAATTGAATCATAAAAAAAATTGGCGTGTATATGCAGGCAATCATACATTGTTTGTATGCCAAGTTTGAACGCGATCGGTCAGAGGGTGTTCGGGAAATGGTTCCGGAAGGACACACGGACGGAAGCCAAATTAATAGTCCCCGTTTTCGGAGGACTAACAATCAACAATCTTAACGACAGCCACGAACTGAAAAATATATAGCTATACTAAGCGAGAGGAAAAATCAATATTAAATATGCAAAAAAGAGAACAAAAAAGACGAGCAATTCATTTAGAATATTATATTGAAGGATAAACTAGGATACCAGACGACATGACATCACTAATGTATGCATATGACGCAGCAGTGTGAATTTATATAGAATGAATTTATACCTGCATAAATAAAGATTTTCCTATATTAATACTGACCATATATGCAAATTCACATGCGTACATACAGCTGCCAAGTAGAATGAAACTATAACCGCACTGGTCCCAGGTGAGTATGTATATTGTATTCATTTGACAATTAAAATACATATTTGCTGACGATGTATATTTATTAATGTTAATACACATTTCTTACACTTTCATGATTCTACAAATGCCGTCAAATTACCAATATTCAATGATGAATAATGTTATAGTCTGTGTAAATATAAATCACCAGCTTTATTTTTGTTTTTTTCTGTAGAATTTCGATCAAAATCATGCTTAGCACTTACACGATGAAGATCAAATTTGCTGAGGTGATTTTGTTGGTCAGTACAAGTAGAATAACATACCTAACTATGGTTTCTTGTAATTCATTCAATTTGGAAATGAACAAATGGCTCACACATAATAATTTGACTATTCAAAACAAAAGATCGATAAATAATACAAATCAAATGCTCCCATCGATCCCGGTCATTCATGAAAATAATTTGAACGACTAATGATGTCGTGAAATTCAATGCGCATGCGCAACAAGTATTTTCACGAAGAACGCATGTCTGTTGCCTAAAAGTTATTTACTAGGGGCATGGTGATAGGTATTTAAATTAAACATGCATTTATTTCTGTCATTGAATCACGAGCAACCTTTAGTTTTGTACCTTTATATTTAACAGCTGTTATTCCGTATTTTTTCCAAATACTTTGCAAATTCATAAAATATTGCCCACATAGTGATCATGGTAATATGGCCCCACTTACCTATATATATCAATCATCCAGATATTTTTACGTCCAGAGGGCCCTGTCTGTCACTTACCATATACTTCTATCTCTATAACAAATGATTAGTCATTCATATCACCGCTAGTCTCTATCAAGTAATTGTCTCACAAAAACTCATTTAAACTGTAACAAATAACATGTTTGCACCAAAACCTATCTTAACAATTGTCATGCTTTCCGCAATTAGTCCACCAAAAGTTTTCTTTATTATCCAAAAATAGGTGACTAGCTCATTTTTACTAAAAAATAAAACCATCTTAGCTATATAAATCATCAGCCCCTTAAAATATTTAATTGTAATTCACAAACAAGGTGGAGCTAGTTTAGTTAACCAATTCATATTTCTGACCAACACTAAGTAATTCTATAAGACATCCATGTTTTTTTAATATTTTTTTGTGCCAGGCGACAGTTCCGGACATTCAGTGTCACTGTTGTCTCTCCTGACTTTTTTTTGTATGTGCAAATTGCAAGTGCTAGTGAAAACACATAGTGCATTTTGCCACAGAAGTCATATTCATGTTTGGGACTACATGACAGGGCTGTGTGGCCATCTCTCTGGCAATTTGTAATGCGCTATCCTGGCGTCAACCAGGCCCGGTCGAACACAAGCACCTGCGGACCTTAACCAAGGTTCCCCCAAAGTTGCATTCGTTAGTGAATGAATCTCGGCTAGTGGAATTGGCCTTCCCATTGAGTCTGTGGTACACTCACCCAGGATAGGGGTCGACCATTTTGATGTTCAGCCTAAGGTAGGATTTGAACTTGGGTCTACCGATCATGAGTCTGATGCGACAACCACTATGCTACCAGTGAAATCCATGTTTGCTACATACTGTGTTGAATCAAATTGAACGAGGCGTCTGATCATACATATTTTGTAAAAAAAAAAGTATGAAGCTGACATCAAGAATTATACCAAGAAAGAATTGTAGCTCAAAACCTGAATTGACCAAGTACATAACATTTAAAAACCGAATGCACTATACTATACTATAGATATAATTATTGACCATGTAATTGTTTGTATTGGTTTTGCTGACGTATAGGTAATACTGCCAAAGATTGTCAATGGAAGTACTGAAAGTAAGTATTACTATTAATGTCGTAAGGTTGATCGAGAACATTAGTCGAATACTAACGAATTGATGACAATATTATTTGTGGATCTCATGCAACCTATTGAACCATTTGATCTGAACATTGGTCGTCACGTACTGATTCCAGAAATAATGTACTTTGTTTCTCCAACCTAACTACAATTGAAAACGCACTTCTTTTGAAGAATTTTCAAATGTAGCATGCATTCGTAATATATGATACAACTAAGCCATGGAAGTAATTGTTTTGACGTTATCTGAATGACCATCCAGGGTCAGTCAGACGTTATATACTGTGCGACCCTGGTGTTCTACTTTATTGTGAATTTAATGTATTTAAGTTGTATGGCAACGATTCTTCAGATTTGTATTATTTGTGTTGGCTACAGATTCGTACGTTCGGGAAAAAATGGTAATTTGATATTCGCAATATATCAAAGCTTTCAGATATATATGTTATTTTGCGAACAGAATTGAACTTCAAAACCGTATTAATGTGAGCGCGTCTTAAGCGCTGTGTTGTATTACTTTGCATACAGTAAGGCAGCGAGTTGCGGCCTGTATATCTGCTCAACCAAACAAGTAACTTAAACATTCTTTATTCACCATTATGTTAGAGAATACATAGCTATTAAAATCAAGACCAAATTCACATTAAATCAAAGTATATAACTATATAATATAAGCAGTGATGTTTGGGCAGCAGAAAATAGCTTAGGTGAAGCTAGTCTAGTCTGCTCCCGAATACTGATGGAGTTAAATAATCATTTTGGCTGGCGTTTTGTAATAACATTACATTTATACAATCTAATAGAAATGACAATAAATAAAAATAGAGATGCAATAAACTCGGTTGACAATACAGTTTCACTACAGGTATGTAAATAGAAAACTAACTATGTCAGTTGGCTAAATGTGCTAAAAGTATATTTAAGTCGCATAATTATAGAATGTCTGAATACCTTTTTATTTTTTACTGTTGTACACCAGTTGACCTTATCCTCTGACACATGTATGATATATATACATATTTATTGTTTTTCATTGTAAACAACATTAATATTCGGATTCTATAAAATCACTTGTTCAAGTTACCTTCTAGAAATCATGGTTTAGACCCAATTACTAGCACTGTCTACTGTCAACGAATAGTCCTAGCAGATATATGTTCGGGTTGTTGAACAACAAGTTTAATGGGTACATATATTGTTACAATTTACAAAATAAATGTGACACAATGAGAAAAAAATCGAAAAACAAAATTTTTATTCTAAAGAAAAAACTAATAAAAGTAAAATAATAGTTTCTAGCATTGAATTTGAACTTTCAATTTTTCAATTGCAAAGAAGAGGTATTAATCACAACCCTATGAAGTTTCGCAATAAAAAGTATATACACTTCAAACACTATCTTTTGCAAAGCACCAAAAATACAATAAAGTCAAAAATCTACACAGGTCAACTATATCTACAGCTTGACCAGTTTGATAGCGATCAGCTTAGTATTTTGGAGGATACTGCGATTATAATACAGTTTACCGTGCTTCACGTTGGCAATGCAGACGACACACATTTTGACTTTACTTTCATTTCAGTACACAGTTACGGTTCCCATTATTACATAGTGCAGACATCATGTTGTACAACTTATTCATGTAGTACATGTGGTGATGAATGACAATATCGAAAATAATAGTAACATTATTTGCCGCCCTTACTAAAACATTACATTGAAGAGGTAAAAGCTATCTTAAAATATTAACATATATTTGCATTCAAAATATATTTGTATGTACATAACGTATATAACACTACTAATGGGCAACCCTGTCTTTTATTGTCCATGCGATACGCGTGCTCAGAATAGCTGTGGTGTTTAAAAAATGGCTAAAAACTGTTTCGACATACAGTTATCAATACTGGATACATAACACGTAACGTGTAAATTACTAAAAAATAGTTTGAAACCAACACTTTCAATATCTCTAGATTATGTTGGATTTTGAAATCATGAGAGTGGCAAAACGACTTTTTATGAAATAGTTAGTTACTTTGATTTTTGCAACCACGCATTTATCCACCTAAATAAATACAAGAAAGATACAATGTCTTGATTGACCTCCCGTGACATTGCGAAATACTAATAATTAACACTGCATTCTATGTTATATGTTCTGCAGCCGATTGCTGGACTGATGGATGTAATTCTGAGTACCCTCATCCATGTGATTTTCTTCCTTCAAGATGTATAGCTTTTTCGTCAATATGTAATGGTGTATTTGATTGTGTAGATCAAAGTGATGAATTGAATTGTATTTCCACAAGTAAGTATAATCTTACCAAACATAGTAGCCAGGAGAGCAAAAAACAACCAAAAACGTAATAGCGAACTACTTTATACGACATACTATTTTAGTAATTTTCCCTATTCCCTATATCCTGTTTTTGTTGCATTTGTCGCATGACCAAATGTTGATTAGACTAAAAAGCATATATATTTTGCCTTGGGTTATCACAATTAACTAAATTCTACTACATTATCTGACACCAATTTATATTTCTGCTTGTGGATGCATATTTATTAGGGATCAGGTGATATTTGTAACAATAGTATACTTAATAAACACTGTTCGTTTAATCCACATTGACGGGAGTTTTTTATTCAATACTATTGAATAAATACACTATTGTTCAAGAGCTTAATCAAACTCGCGATTATTTACAGATACTATAGAAGAAAATTCATGCGTAATGCCGATACAAGAAACAGGACATGGTAGAATCAGTGAATACAAACTCCAGCTATTGGAAGCACATAACTACTTTCGATGTATGCATGGCGTACCACCTCTGATTTGGGACACGGTATTGTCAGAAGCAGCAAGAGTATATGGAAATGTTACCTTAAAACAAGAATCCACAGCATTATTCCTCGATCAATATTGGCCTTTTGGGAAAAACACTGCAATGTATCTTCAGGACTATTTTCCAACAGTGACAGGTAGAGTTATTCTTGAATAACATTCTATCATTCGTTTAAAGTTGATTTCCACTTTGTGAATATGTAATGTACCATCCTCTGACCAATATACACACAATCACATGTCGAGACTCCAGCAGTAAGAGAAATTCAGAGGAATTCGCTGTAAGAATGCTAATCTGAGCTTCCGAAATCAAGGTTAGAGATGTAAATAATATATACTCACCGAGTAAGAAGGCTATGTTTGTTCTTGTAGGCCAGTTTAATATTTTTGTCTAAGGGGTAAGAACATACATTACTCAAGAAAGAGGGCAAGAAAATGAGAAAAATATATAAATATCATTCAAAAACAGTTTCTGTTTTTAAAATTATTTGTTGTTTGAAGTGATTGCAAAATAGAGCTGCAACTTCTATTCTTCTACTTGACGAGAATTACACATCAGTGTCGTAGCATAGTGAGACAACATATTCTCACAATATAGCTACATATACAGTACATACTGAATATAGCTACACTACAGTACATTATCTATCTTTTACACAGATTTATTGATTAATACTAAATACCTATAGGATGAATTGAAACAACTTATACAGAAACAAAAACAGAAATGTGAAAAAGACATCACTGAAATCAACAAGCGTTTTAATTAACAATATTCAGAATTCTTCCATTGTTTTATTCCTAAATGTTGTTTGGTGAGAATGTTCTCATCACTAGATTGGATTAAATTTAGTACTCCAATGAGCGAATCATAATTGTCATTTTCCTGAAATTTTATTAAGAATATTTCGTTAACTATCTCAACAAATTGTATAACTCTAAATAATTAGGGGTAATGATGATTTATAATTAATTTACAATCTTACTGGTATGAATGTTTTATTGCAGTCTTGCTTTTTAATGGTAAAATTAACGGCATTTTTGTGTACAACTGATAATAATAAAAAAATATTTTATACTGGGAATAAATGTTCTATCACAATCTAAAGACTTTATATTTAGCTATGATGCCATGTTTATAGTTATTTATTCATACGTCTTATTTTTAACATATATAGGAATGGAAACCGTTGACTGTTGGTACCAACACAAACAGTTCTATAACTGTGATGACCCTAAGCCTAGTGTTCTTACTGGTGGGTTTTCGCGCGCTCATTACATACTTCATATGCACTGCAAGTTATTTAAATGCATTGACAAAACAATACTTTATTTGTGAGTAAAGAGACGGCACATGATTAAAATGATTAAGACAGCAGGAAGTTCTTTAATCCTCGTCTGTGTGGCTTTGGTCATGCAGTAACAAGAACACACACAAAACTTCAATTCTGCGGTGACGCACCATGTACAAGTCAGTGTTATGAAAGATTGTTACATGGGACAATTCATACAAAGATGCAAAAGGAAAATAAATTATATCAATATAAACTTACCGGTTTTATGCACAAAGATATCCAACGTGTGTGCAAGTATAATTATCCAAACAATACATAATACACATCTAAATATTGATGAAATAATTTAAAACAAAACCTGCCAAAATAATACAAGTAACAGCAAACCCACATATTTGGTCGTGTTTTGGTGAGTGCAATGTGATGTTACCAAGTGTTTTTTAACAGTTTGATATTACACAATTGTAATATCATGCAATAGACCTTGCACCATGATATACACACTGGGCCTTTTCTCAATTAAAACAATACTACAATATTGGGCATTTGTTGTCTGTGAGAACTATAACCGGTGACCTTTATATCTTATGTGTGGTTTACCCAAATCGTTTTTTCAAGAAATTTAAAACAATTGTGGCCAGTCATATTTGAAAATGTCTAAAATGCTCGACATTGGTTTGAATACTCAGAAGAAGAAAAAACAATCTACTTAATTTTCTAATTATGAGAAAAAATAAAATTTGGATTGACCACCTTGTTTGGTACCTGCTATAGTGCGCGTAATATTCAAGCCTGTTTTAAAATTAATATTATCAATAATATTTACTTTGAAAACTAAAACAATTTTGCCTACTATTTTGATTTATCAAAAACAGCTTTACTTAAAAACCACATGACATTCAAAGTTTAACCCCAAACGTCTTCTTTTCACAAGGAATGTGACAACCGTATTGGAGTAACCAATTAAAATGCTCATCTCTCACAGCAACAAAAACCTAAAATATATAAAGGATATAAAGTGTGTATAAATTGCGGCAAAAATCGTGTCATTCTTGGCAATCATCCCCGTGCTCGTCTGAGCCTATTGATATGTACTTGCAATATTCAGTGTCGTTCTACTTGCTTAGACTTCTGTATAGCAGTGTTTAGCTTTGTTTTTCTTTCTGTTCTCAATCTTCACATTTGATAGAATGTGCACACGAATTAATTACCATTCACTCAGGAACATGTCGTGGTGATACATTCAGAGACACATATTCCATATATATTTGTTTAATTTCCAGATATGTTTACGCAAGTCATCTGGAAAGATACCACCAGGGTTGGTTGTGGAATTGCTGAAGGCCAGGAGGTATACGTAGTGTGTAACTACTTTCCAAAAGGAAATGTGAATGGTACATTTATCGAAAACGTACCTTGTGTGAAAAATTCTACTATGACTGAATATTGATTAAATGTACATAAATAAAATTGTACTCACTCACATACTGTCTCATACGTTTTTACTATCTATGGCCTGTTTTTTTTATAATATTTATATCAGCCATGGCCACGTACACAAATTCTAAGCGTTATTTGATTATTTATGAAAACAGGAAGAAGAAGGTCTAGAAAACAAATCCCGAGTGCAATTTACAGGACTCTGACCTACATTGTGCCATTATACTCGTTAACCCAACTGAGTATTTCTTAACTGTACCACCAAAATATAAAAGATTCAGCAATTTTCTGCATTGCTGGTGCACAGTGTAAATTTACATAAATACACAGATGTTGTGTACATTTCGTCATTTGTCATGATTATTTTACTAAAGCTTTCCGGTCTTGGCTAAGGTGCGAGATCTGATGTACAATAGCGGTTTACAGAATTAGAATTATTAGTCAGATAGAGAGATATTAGTTAGACAAGACATTGCCAGTTTACAAGTTATCTGTGTCAATTGCACTTACCATATAAATACAACTGTAGAAATCACATTCTACATATGAATATAAGTACTAGTGTGACTGATTTAGGTCATCAAAACGAAATGTTTACCGAAATAAACCAACTAGTAGAACAATGTATTGTTTATTCTCAAGAGTTGTATAATTACTCAACACATACTAAGAAAGGATGAACCACTCAGTTAAGAGGATTAAAAAGCCACTCGATAAAGTTTACTTTTGATGTTATAATGCGTTAAAATCCTCTTCAAACCTTTGTCTTACCAATAAGTATTCAGATAAAACCATATCAAAGTAATTAGATGAGTCTTGCCGTCATTAAAAGGGGTGTGTACATCGCGTGAAAAATGTAATGTTTCATACCGTTTACAATTTCAATGCGCATTAAAAAACAGCGAACAACACGCATGCGCAGTTTCCCCCACGTGACAGATGACCTTTCAAACACCGGAAATAAATCAGATTGGAAGAAGTTTGTTGACGATCTGGTGCGTTACAGTGCTTTCTTCGTGGTTTTTGAAATTTTTGCTCTGATATTTTATCGTATGATATTTCAACTTTCCTAAGATTTGCGACAAACGATTTTAATATCAGATATGGGTTTTTATCTTTTCTGTTTTTTACCGTGGTCGACGTTAGTGATAGCACAAAATAGCAGGTTGAAAATACGCCGTCAACTTGCTGCTTTTTTGGTAATCTGTTTTCACTTTTCACTCGACTCTTGACAAATTAAGGGTGTCACACCGTAGTAGCCCCATGCATTATAGGGGAAATATTATTTAGCGGGTTTTGTTTTTATTTTCATAATCGACACATTACATGGTTTCAATTGTTTTACTTCTAAAATTAATCGGAAATGGTAAATATTCCCTATGCATGTTTTTTACAAAGCTTGCAAACCTCATGTATTTGTAACTTCATGCCTTCCAAGTATTATGATCATGGCAATCTTTTAGATGATTCTATTTAATTTAAATTATAATATTTTACTACATTACCTTGAAATACATTCAGGGGTGGGGTGGGGGGGGGGTAGAAATGCTGTTAAGGGTTGTAGCTTATTATTATCATGTTTTTGGTAATAGATGCAATTTAAAGAAAACTATACTATATTATCTATGATATTTCTAATATTTTGGGCCATTATACATTGTATTGATTTTTCATCCACCTATCTTTGGGAAATTTAGCCTAATTTTTGTTTTTTGTTGCTTTCAAACAGAGTGAACATTACATGCCTTGATTCAATACTTTTTATACGCAGCTGATTATTTATATTTAAGGTAACTAAAATTGATTTGTTAATTCCTTCAGCACAAATGACTGGAGGCATGCTGAATGTATTATTATTATATAGTTACTAGTATTTTGTTTTCTACCCGGTAGGTTCATACTTGTTCAAGACACCATATTTGTAGTTTTTATAGTTTTAATTTTTTTAATCATTATCTATATTTCTGTTTTACAGCATACTGCAATTAATTATCACAAAGAGAAACTGCGTGAACATTGTCGTGTAAACTGAGGTTAAAGCCAAAATCTAACTATGATATTTCGAAATTGCTGCAGAAGTTCTTTTCACTCAGTGTTGAGAATGAAGATGAAGTCGTATTCACTCCATTTGTGTGCCATATTTGTTACCAAAAAATACAGAGACACAAACAAAAAACAAGCAAAAAGCTGAAATCATCACTCAACATTGTCCGAGCTGAGTTTCAAGCACATGATAAGTATTGTGACTTGTTTTAAATGCACTGACCAAGGTAATAACATTGCAATTTTCAGAGCCATTTCAAATTTTGGAAAAGAAGCTGGATATTTGGTGACTGAAGCTGGCAGCAGTATTTGCTGTCTGAAACTGGGGAACAACAGTAATTGCATTAATGTTAGGCTGGAAGTGGACTGCAAGGGCCTTTGGTCTTTGCTGATCAATGGCAGAACTGC